TGGGCTGGAGAACAGAGAAGTGTCCTGAGGTGCTGCAGGACTGAGCATGTCGGTAGGTGGGGAGGTGGGCATCGGCAACAGGTCACCGGCAGAGGAGTCCTGACCTCTGCGCCTCTGAGAGGGAGGCGAGGTGGGACCCTCACTGCTGGCTGAGGAGACAAGACATGAGGAGAATTAATAATAGTATAACAGAGACCCACCTCCTACAATGTTATGGTCAGCTGAATAGCAGCTGAAAGCTTGAGGTAAAACGTGGACCAAAAGGTTTCATTTCATTTAAGCCACAGACAGAAAAACCAATGAACCTACGTGTGGATGGGTTCATGTTCCTTCCACGTTTGCGGCCACCAGGGGTCGATGTTGGGGAAGACATTGTTTCTGCAATACCTAAAGATCAAATGGAGAGGCCGTCAAAGAAGGTTGAAAAAGCACATTTTCTAAAATGATATTGTCCTTAACCTAACACTTAAGTGGCTGGATTCCCACCACCTGCCCAGACTTAAAGAAAATAGAGCAGGTGTGTTTGGTTGTGCCTACTTTTTCTTTTTTAAGAGGTCAGGGAGGACACTAGGCTCACCTCCAGCATCACTTTAAAGGGGGCTGACTGTTGGAGCAGATCCACTGAGTTTGTGCGGTGTTGTGTGTGTGTGTTGATGTCCTGGTAACTCCCATGCAATCTTACTTTATTGCTTATTGCTATTGCACAGCTTCCCATGACCCTCAGATTTACAAGGCTGGATGGACATAGTCAAGGGTCAACTACTTTATTGCTTACATTGATATTTTTGCCCCTTCATCACTACATGCTAAATAAAATATACTGTATAACCATGTATCTAAGTGAGACCAAGATACATGATTGGTACTATTGACCAGAGAGCTGTTTTCCAGTGGTTGGTGCATATTTAGTCAGGTTATGGATGAAAATAGAATACAGGTTGAACCATAAAGTAACCATGTAATTGCGAATTAGTGCTTTAGCTTCCCTTCTATTGTGCTTTTTCATTTTAACAGTGCCATACTTTGTGAACCTGCAGCTTTCTTTAAATTCATTTCATGTCGGTTGGTTGCCATAAATCAACGCTCTAAGTTCTACAGTTAACTTTACTAACACGAGTACTTTCTGCCGCTACTCCTTCGAGTGTGTTTGTAAGTGGTTAACATTGCGTTTCTCTACTTTCATTAAAACGTTCAGTCAGTTAATAACTTCTCCACCATTAGACATGTGGCTGCACAGGGAAACAATAAGCTGAATCTTACTTGCACTGTTTGGCCTGGTTCGACACTTCAAAGTGATCATGAAAATAACATAACACGTTGATGTACAATCAAGCAAACGTGTTTAAGAACCGACACTTTGAATCCACCAAGCTAATCTACAGTTTAATGAGGAATATATGAAATAAATTTACTCTATTCTTACCTCTTCTTGAATATACGTCCGAGTGCTGCAGATCTGGCGCGAAACTGCAGGTGACGTAATTTTCGCGGGGAACTTTGGACCAATAGGAAGTCAGGATAGTGCTGTTTCCTTCCAGCAGAGTCGTTCACTGCAGAGGGGGGTAGATTTTGAGTTTCTTTCGATGCGACTTTAATTAAAAATGATTCAATGTCTTAATAAGTAGAATAAACACAAAATAAAACTGAAACAACACTTGTTTCTCTATGTGATAAGTAAAACACGATCTGTTTTAACTGTTTGTAGTCGTATGCACGCTGATACCCTGAACTGATTTGGTTTGGTCCAACAGTAAATTATCTTTTTTTCTGTCTCTATCTTTATTGAAACAGTTCACAATACATTAAAAAATATCATCAGAAGTGTGAGGATACCTGAAACTAAAATAAAATGAGTAGTAAATCAACAATTAGGCTACATATAAATATAATACTAGCAAATGAAAATAAACAAAATCATTTGATTTTTTTTATAACTGCATCACAAGCATTATAAAGACAAATAATATAAACTCAATGCCCATATATTAGGTACAACTGTACTATCTAATGTAGTCCAGTAAAACTACTGTTATAAAGTCTACTTTTATAATCACTATAATGAAAAAGGGAGAAAAAACAATAAAAAAAATGGATTATGTTCTTAAGATGTAATTGTTTGACTTTATTTGGAAATAAAAATGTGTTACGAGGATTGTCTTTATTGATGAGACAGCGTGTATTGTGTGACTTTATCCTGCAGGTGTGTTTACTGACCACAGTGTGGCGCAGTTTCCATTTAAGACGGGACTACGAAAGAGGAAAAGTACAGCTCACTTCCTAAGAGGAAAACATCGAAGCATTTCCGAGAAGTGTCAGGACATGTGTCATTAAAGGTGCCTTTTTTTAGACAAGATCTTTAACATAACATCAGCAGCAACATTTTGTTTATTATATAAGGAAGTTATCAAACGCCTTCAATGTATTATCTTATTACCCTTTTTTCACTGTAATATTATTCATTACAATAAGTTACAAAATATTTATAATAGAATACTTCTTGTAATCAAATGTTAATGTGTAATGATGTTAATAACTTGAGATTCCAGGTTATGTAAGGGGTTTCATATGTCAATGAGCACCGCAACCCTCTATGTAAAGTACATAACAATTTCACCTGTATATAGTTTGTTGTCCAGCTCTTACCTGTATATACCAGCTATACTGTACGTTTAAGTTTGCTTACATTTGTGTAGCATGGAGTCTTTGTTTAGCTGAATGTCCGGTTTTGTATCCCTCTGTAAATATGTTCTCTGTGTTTCAGAGGTGGAATGTAACTAAGTACATTTACTACAAGTACTCTTCTGAAGTACATATTTTTTGAGTTACATGCACTTTCTTGAGCACTCCAATCTCATGCCACTATATACATCTTCTCCACCAAATGTTGTACTTTTAATGCCACTACATTTATTTGACGGATAGGCCTATAGTTACTTTGCAGGTATAGAAAAAATGGTGAAATTATAAAATACACTGCTTTGCTGTTGATTAAATAAAAAATATTTTAAATTGGCTCAACCACGACCAACTGCAACAGTTTATACATTCATGTATAACTAATAATACCCATTAACACAATTTTTGACACTCACTTTTTTTCTGCATTATGAGTAGGCTACTTTTACTTCTGATACTTCAAATACATTTTCCTACAAATATTTCCATTGATTTACTTAAGCACCATTGCCGGTGCAGGACTTTCACTTGTAAATGAGTATGCTCACAGTTTGGTATTGCTACATTCACTTGAGTAAAGTATCTTGAACTTCCTCCAGCACTGCTGAAATTTGACAAACACACTGTAATACTGACTTGAAAACTCATAACAAGCACCCAAGTTGAGATTCAGTATACTGAAATACTGTATGTTGAGAGCTACTGAGACCTGGAGTTAAAAGTCCTATAAAGTTGATTCTGCTTCTGAAAATCAACTATATAAATGCAATTTTATATTACTATATTCTAAAATCAGTACATTACAGCTACCTTGAATGGTCACATATCCTCATGATGTAGCTACAGCATGACTGGACTTGCCATTATAAGTTATGAATGCAAGTCTGTAAGACTGATGACAACCTAAAAAGGGGATGTGTTGTTTCTGTTTTGATGGTTTCATCTCCCTTATACTGGGACCATATTGATATACATGATACATGCAATGATGGTAATATGCTGTGCGTGGTTAGTGTAAGTCAAGTAGATCAAGTATATTGTCATGAAATGGTATGGCCAACATGCAACAGGCCCATACAATGCACACAAAATCATGTTTCTATTACGTAAGAGGTGAATTTCCCCTTGGTGAATTGTCCCAGATCCTTATGACGTCCATCAGCATGATACAACTTGTACTTGCAATTTTGAATTTTGAATGAATGAATGCCATTTCATGACAACTTGTAAGAACGGTGGTGGAAGGTCAGTGCATTTAGTTCTTTCTTAGGCGTAACTGTGAGGTGCTTGTACATTACCTGAGTATTTCCATTTTCTGCTACTTTATAACTTTACATCATTACATTTCAGATGGAGATATTGTATTTTCTACTCCTCTACCTTTATCTGACAACTATTTCCTTTACAAATTAAGAAGAAAAAAAAAAAGTGTCATCAGTTTATAAAATATGATGTATTGTTACAGATTAAAATACCCTATAGTTTATAAAATAGTCACAGTAAGCTTCACCTTGACCAGTTACAAGTATTACTTGCATGTTAAACAAATAATAATAATCCAAAAATAAATCCACTTCATAATTTATGATTCTTCTGGATAAATGATTATAAGAAACTTGGGCTGGAGTCATTTTGCGTTGTGGAAATTTTGTATCTCTTTTTAGTTATTTTGAGTGTTTCTGTGGTCATTTGGTTGTTTGAGGAAATTTAGCATCTCGTTGCAGTCATCTTGCATCTCCTTTGGGTTTTTATGTCTCTTTGTCATCGGTATGTGTTTCAGTGACATTTGTCTGGTTAAGCTCAGGGGGGCCCTGACACTTTGGGCCCCTGGACTTGTGCCCTTCAGGCCCGTTCAGTAATGCATCCTTGTGTTTTATAAATCATTGTAGACTGGGCATTTATATATGCATGACACTATTGAGCACGTTCATACAGTTTGCTGATAACACTTCTGTACTTTTACTTCATACTTCAACATTTTGAATACAAGACACTTACTGCTAACGACGCATTTTAATAGAACACTTCTACCACTGGTTGAGACAGACAGACAGTTTTTCTGGATGACAAATTAAAGTTAATCCCACACGCCCTGAGCAGAGCCTACAGTATGTAAACAACTCTGAGCCATTCATACAATCGTAGTAAAAAGTGGGTGGCAAGAGCAACACGCCCCTCTCTCCTCAAATGGGAAGTTAGGGGACACCATGTGATCCCAGTTTGGACTTGACTGGTTCGTGAGAGGGCGGCACGTGTGACGTCAGCTGGGGAAACGATACAAAACTGTCTGCGAAAGTACAGATGCCTCAGAGGAGTGACAAGAAGTGTTTGAGCATCCTCAGTGACAGGAGCCTGACAGGCAGCACCCAGGGATAAAAGCCAAATAAGACCTTTTCAAGAAAGGGAGAGGTGCCTGCAGAGCAAGAGAAGCCAGTGCAGGGTTATTGTGCAGCAGACAGCTGTCACATCTAAGGGTCACTTTTTAACAAGTTTATTTCTTTCCCAAACCACGTGGACAAAGTCACCAGAGTTCATGTGTGACATATACAGCCTGGACTCCCACTGCGTGTCCCCACAATGCAACATGAGTTGGGCGATGGAGCCTGCTAACTTCTACGAGAGCACCAAGCTGGGCGGCCCGCAGCAGGGGGTCTGCAAGCCGGGCAGCAGGAGCGACGGAGCGGGCGAGGACGGCACCATGGTGGAGCTGAGCACCGCCCCTGCCATGTACGACGACGAGAGTGCCATCGACTTCAGCCAGTACATCGAGTCGATGACAGCCGTGCCAAACCTGGAGCTGTGCAACGACGAGCTCTTCCTCGACCTGTTCAACACTGTGAAGCAGGAGAAGGCGGATTTCTACAACATGCAGAGCTCGTTGCAGCCCAGCAGCGTGCAGCAGCTGTCAGCCACATACACAGCGGAGAGGAAGGCGGACACCGGGCTGGAAAAGGGGGCGTTCAGTGCGCCCATCAAGCAGGAGTCCGACTGGAGTGACAGCGACATGTCCTCATCCCTGCCTTCCCAGATCGAGACCTGCGCCCAGACCTCCGTCAGCCTCCCTACAGGACAGCCGACCCCGCCAACCACCCCGGAGCCCGTCTCCACTGTCAGCTCAGCCAAATCCTCCCCGCGCAAGATCGGGAGGGAGAAAGGCAAAAAGGCGGTGGACAGGTACAGCGTGGAGTACAGACAGAGGCGAGAGAGGAATAACATTGCAGTGAGGAAAAGCAGGGATAAAGCCAAGAGGCGCAACATGGAGATGCAGCAGAAGCTGATTGAACTGAGTGCTGAAAACGACAGGCTTCACAAAACTATCGAGCAGCTAACCAGAGAGCTCACCGGCCTCAGAGATTTCTTCAAGCAGATACCCAACTCCTCCTTTGCCGCTCTGTCCACGACTGTAGAGAGTCGGTGACAAATGAACTCTTCTATGAACTGAGCTTTTAGGAGACATACCTCAAGAGACTTTTGTTTTTACCATCTGTACCAGATGTATTTTAAGCTTACCATAATGGCACTGGAAAATATATGATGTTGCTGCCATATTTTTGTGGGATTTTATCTGTATTAAATTATTTTACCACTGCATTTATATGATATGATGTTATACCTGACATGGTACATGTTTTATAATTCCAAACTTTGTATAAGAGCCAGAGCATGATCTTTTATATAGTTTGTATGAAACCTTGAAAACATTTTGTTTATGGAATCTCCAATAAAAACATGGAAAAGGTACAGAAATTGCCTGGTCTGTGAGTAGTCTTCACATATAGCAGGAGTGTTTTCTCACAAGAAATCAGAGAAGTGAAACAGGAAATAGAAAGTTAAGTCAGCAAAAACACGTTTATTGACACAGTGTCAGTAATCTTAAATACAGAGGTAGATGACTAGGTTGGAAAACAAAAAAAGGTCTTTCAAACCACTTACAAATGTGTTTACACTTGAAAAGTTCTCATTTGAAAGTCACATCCAAGTTGATGAACCACGTGGGCTGCTTTGACAGACACTGCATGCCTCTGGTCTACCCTTGGGCTGTCAACTCCTGGTGCACAGGATCACATATCATTAACACAAACAAGACCTTGTCTTCTTGCAGCCGGTTCACTTCAGCACAGCCACAAGCTGTCAGGGAGGCCTTCAGAGGGGAGGAGAGCAGGCTAAACTGGCTCAGACCAAGGTCTAGTGTGCATGCAGATCCTTGGAGCCAGGATTGATATCATTAGCTACTTGCCCTGACAGCCTTTAGAGGGAGATTTCTTCCAGGCCAATCCAGGGGGCAGGTTTCCTGGTGACGACTCGGACGTAAACGGCGATGGGGCCCACCTCTTTTCCCAGGACATTCTCCACATCGTAACCTGGGAACTGAGACACACAGTCCATCTAAAAACTCCCAGAAACATACAAGTTCACACCTTATTTACTATTGTTTAGACCATTTTAGGCTGAAAACCCATCTACTGCAGCTGCACATGAAAAAAGCACAACTATTTTTAGTTCTTCAATCTAGTGAAGTTGCTGTGGTTGCAAAAATATGTGAGTGCACTTAAGGCCCTGACCTTTGCACTCATCATATTGGTCAGCATTAATTCTGTTGATCTTGGAATTTGTTCATGACTCATGAGCTCCCCTGAGGAAGACCACTAATGCCTACTTTGTAACTTAAGGCTACAACTAATGACTATTTTCATCATCAACTAATCGTTTTGTCTATGAAATGCCAGATAATTATATAAAAAAAGCCTGCTATAATTTTCCATAGACTAAGGTGACAACTTTAACAGTCTTGTTTTGTCTGACCAAAAGGCTGAAACCTAAAGATGTTCAGTTTACCACGTTATGTGACAAAGAAAAGCATCAGATCATCATAATTGAGAAGTTAGAAACAGCAAATCTCAACATTTTTGCTTAAAAAAGTGTCTAAAACAAAAATGTGATTAACAATATAGTTGCAGATTAACGTTTTGTCAATCAACTACCCAACTAATTGTTGCAGCTCTATTATAAGTAACACTGCATTTGCATGATTATTATCATGCTCCACCACTTGTAAATTACATGGAAAATAAATCATAATATTGCCAGTGGACAAACTGCATCCAAACTTAATAAAATAAAATCAATCACTAAATACAGGAAGATTGCGTCTGTATTTTGGCGGTAAACTCCTTCTGCATCAATGACCAGCACGACTTTTTTTGTTCCCTAACCCAATAGAGCTTTATCACCCTGACATGAACAGATGACTGTGCTTTCAGGACATATCGACAGAAGATCAATGCACCGTGCAGTTCAGCCCAGTGTTATGTAACAGTTTATAAAAGCACACCTACCTCATCACGCTCCAGTGCTGCGGTGTTCAGAATGGACATGATCGTCTTTTTCTGCAGCTGTCAGGGGAGATCAGAAGGTGTGGAGTCATTAACGTCATTTTAATCATCGTCTTAATGTTGTAATAAAAAATAAATCCTGAACCAAACATACTGTGGTCTCTGGTGAGCAACAGATTGATAGAAAGGGTTAAAATATCAGATTGCTGATAAGGGAAATGCTGATATTGATTGACTCAGTTACTTTTCTCATTACAAATGCACACCAGGTTTTCTATAATAATCAAAAAAAGGCCATTATGCAGGTGCAGGTACAGTAAAGGATTTTATTTCTTCGGCCTTTTAATGTGCTGAATGTGAATTTTATCTTTATAAGTCAATAAAAGTCTCATCACTCCAAGAGTCCAGGGGAGGATTCAGTGTTTGGCTCAAGCACACTTCAACAGGTTTCAACAAGGTTTGAATTGAGCTCTCTGATCACTGCACCACCCTCCTACCCTGCTGTTCTTTGTACTGGCATACTTCATAAATATAGAAAAGTAAAATTTTTTTGTTGTTTCTGCTTAAAGCAGCAGTTCAACATATTACTGCATTCTTGCTGAGAGTTAGATGAGAAGACTGATACCACTCTCAGGTCTGCTCAGTAAATATGAAGCCTAAGCGAAGGAGAGGTTAGCTGTTAGCTTAGATTAGCATAAAGACTAGAAATGGGGGGGGGGCTACTAGCGTGGCTCTGTCTGGTGATAAAATCCAGCTCCTCTAAACCTCACTGATTAACACATTATATTTTGCTTGTTTAATCAATACCAAAACCAAATTGTGTTTCATGGCTGTGAACAGTTGTCAAGACACCAGCAAAGACTCCAGGAAGCCACTGGTCTCAGCTAAGAAATAGTCCATCACACAACCCCTCTTGCAAAATGTCAATTTTACAATATGGTTTTGTGTGGATTAAATAAACTAAATATTATATGTTAGTCAGTGAGATTCAGAGGTGTTGGTGGGTGGATTTTGTTACCTTCAGACAGAACCAGGCTAGCTGTTTCCAGTTTCCAGTCTTTATGCTAAGTCACGCTAAGCTAAACTAAGCTAAGCTAAGCTAAGCTAACGTAACCATCTCCTTGGCTGGAACTTTGTATTTAGTGTAAAGACATGAGAGTGGTGTTAAGCTTCTCAACTCACTCTCCGCCAAAAAAGCAAACAAATGTATCTCACAAAATATTGAACTATTCCTTTGAACACACATCAGTTACCCAGTGTAAAATAAAACCTTAATATCCCTAAAACATTTAGATTTTTGAAGCTTGATTCACCACACAGAAAAGGTACTGGGATGCATAGTACAATACCCAGAATCACTGTTCTCACCTTAACCTTTAAAGTGCAATCACTTAATGAAGAGCAACTCAGAAGCACTTCCAGCTGAATCTTTGTGTCTGGCTTGTCCACTGCTGACTTACAAGAAACACAGTGGAAGTTTTGACTGTGAAAAGAAAAAAAAAACAAAAAATGAAGTGTTTATTTGCCATGATGATTAACATTAAGATATTGTGAGTAATTCTGAAAACTTACGGCCTTTCTGCTAACATCTGTAAGTTGTCACTTCCACAGAGGTTGCAGGCAGGCCAAGAATAAGCTGTGTTCTCATCCACACCAACTATCACGCCTGCAATCAGAAATACAACTGTTAATAAAACATTAACATACAAAATCACCTTTGGGAAACATCCATACAAACTGTACTTTCCTATATGATGTTAATTTACTCTCTTTCGACAGCCTGCTTATCTTTATTGTTAATTTTATTTACACTTCTTGCTATTTTCAACTGGTGGACGCCAAAGGAAAAGCATTGACGCCTAACTAGAAGAAACAGATAAACGATCTACGCATAGGTTTCAAGTGTGTGTATGTTTGTTACAGGGTGTAAGAGATAAAAACATCCCTTTCATTTTTATCTGAGATCGTACTGATAAATGCAGCAACGATGTTTCTCCCTGCCTAAACATCATGTCACTTTACAACCAGAGCTGCTGTCCCACAAACACAAATATAGGACCTTAAATAAGATACGGAATTTAAGACTGATAAATGGTTGTTGTACTTTCTGGTCTGAGGCTTTTTCCACTGGTAATTTCCAGAAGATAGTATTTGCACACGAGTGCAAAAGATAATATGTTTGTTTTATTTTTTTTCAGCCACCTGACCAAACATGTACAGCCAGAGGAGCCAGAACCAAGAGGGTTCACAGTTTGATCTTTGCCCTCAACTGCGACACAAAGTCGACAGATGCAGATTATTATCTGATTTAGGCTGCCCTTGTCTGCACCACATTTACATAATTGCAAAGCTTCAAAGAATTTAAAGAAAGAAATCAACACGTCATAACAAGGTCTCTTAACTTGTCTGATGTAAATGAGATAAAATCAGCACAAGTTGTTCAGTGATATTTCAATGAACACCGCAAAAAGTCACGTTCCTTCAACATATTGCTGGGGGGGGGGTCCTGCAACAGGCCTCCACACTAGCTTATTTTCCCATCATGCCACCCTCAACTGAAATTTAAAGGGAGCAGGCATGTTGATTTCACCGAAACCGACATGGGAATGGACGTGAATGCAACAATATTTCATGTGTTTTCATTTCTTACAGTCCCAAACAATGGCAGCCTGAGGACAGTGAATAAGAAACAGAAGAAAGCAAGGCCTTAAAGCCACATCAAGGCCTCTTGCTGAGCTGTAAACTTATATATGAAAAAAACAAGTGGTTTTCTTCCCTAGAGAAAACAGTGGCCATGTTCGGCAGGAATCACTTCAGATGAGGCGAGTTACATGAAAACCACAGGACACAGTGAAAGGGGGGAAACTGACCTGTGAGAGTACAGAGGGAGTTGGGTGTGGTCTCCAGACTCAGAGGATCCAGTCTCACAGGTTGGGGCAGGGTCTCCGCCTGGGGCTCGCCGAGCGACTGTGAAAGTAACTCTGGCCTGGTTGTGGACTGGAGGCCGTCTTCAGGCTCAACAGGGCACACCTCAACAACTGACTGCTCCACACACAGGAGGACACCTAGATGTTGAAATTGAAATGTACTTACAAATGAAATGTGCATAAACAATCTAGAGTACTGACTGTGCTCATCCCCAGACCAGCAGACCAGTGAGGGTGCAGTGGAGGAAGAAGGACAGATGCCTTATTTAAGTAGTACATTTACTCAAGTACTACTTTGATGCAGTGTTGAGGGATTTGTACTAGAGTATTTGTATTGTATGTTTCTTTATATTTCTACTCCAATGCAGCTTTAGGTACTTGTTATTTTGCAGATTCAGATTATTAATACAAAGTATAATTAATAAATGAATCATGATATATTATTATAGATTTAAGATACCAGGCGGTAAAATAATGATAATAATAATAATAAAAAAAAAAAATTAAAATTAGATCTACCTTTACCAGCTGCCACATTAAAGTCTAAGAGTAGAGTATTTGAGCTTGTGTATATTTAAAAACAAACAGGTTAGATAGACTACATTGAAAATATGGGCCCCATAGTTTAACCTCAATGCAACAAAAGTGAGTTTGTTGGTTGTTTCTGATGCAACATGGCTCCATGTGGTAAGAAGTTGCCTGAGCAAGTAAGAAACCAGATTGTGAGACAAGAGCATCAGCGGCCTAGTGAACATAAGCTGAAACACAGCTGCAGCAGTTGAGGAGGTGTAGGAAGAACCATAACCAGAACCATCAACCAATAACGCAGGGTGCAGTGGCGGTCCCGGGAAAATGACGTCACACACAATTTACTATTTATGTAGCCTTGCATTGAGTTGGCACAAGAATTGTGTGTGGAAAATAATGTTTCAGTGACTGATCAGATAGTGTGAAGGACATTGATGAAGTCGACCTCTACAGACGGCGTCCAAGAAGAAAACCATTACTGAAATGGCACAAAACTGCAAGTTTTAACTTTGCCAAATAACATGAAAAGAAGCCTGATGAATGTTGGCAGCACACTCTTTGGTCAGATGAAAACAAAAATAAATTTGTTTGGATCACATGGGGTGATGGGGGGTCCAGCATGTTTGGCGCGCACTGAGGATTACCACAGTGACTATCTGGGGCCAACTGTGAAACATGGAGGTGGGAGTGTGTGGATATGGGGCTGCATCAGTGCAAAAGGTGTAGGGGAGATGGCATTTATTGATGGCACCATGTAATCAAATTTTGCAATAATCAAATACTGGATGAAAAGTTAAGTGAAGTGAAGACTGTGACCTGAGGAATTTGAATCCAACAGAAAAACTTAGTATTTTAACGAGTATTTTAAAGTGGAAGGTAAAACAACAAAAGCCCTTCAGCAAAGAGCAGCTGAAAAGAATCATCTGTGAAGAACGGCAGAACATCTCTCCACAGATTTGACCGGTATCATCTGTGCACAGGAGGATCAAATCTGTCATCACAAGTAAAGCTGGACATACAACAAGAAAAAAATAAGAGAATATGAAATCTCACTAATGAAGGGTGAATTGGCCTCGGTAGCAGTTGGTTCATAAATATGAACTTTTCTTTATAGATAAATTTTTCTTGGGCTACAACAAGCAAATGAAACTAATTTGTATTACATGGACAGAATTTGTAATTTCCTAACATTTTAGTGACACTAACCAGGAGTGTAATCAGTTTTGTTGTATACTGTAAATACTACTCTCAAATGGATCATTCTGCGTCATTAGTAATTTTACTTTTGGTACTTTAAGTATATCTTGATGCTTTTGTACTTTTACTTCAGTATAATTCTGAACTTAAGGGAAAGATCTGAGTATTTCTATCAGTGAGCAGAAGTACCAGTACAACACTGAGAAAATATTTCATTACAGGTTGAAATCCTTTACTCAAAATCCTCAAAAGTACTCCACTGATTTAGCATTGCACCTCTACAACACTGTCACTAGCCTCGAGCAGAGATGAGGAGCACGCCACAGAGTCTGGTAAGCTCACTCCTTTCTAACTCCACAACCCTCAGTCAAGTTTGTAGTTTTTAGTACTGCCCAACACTGATGTGTAAAATCAGTGGAGTTCCTCTTTAAGTACATGATCAAATGTATTATCAGTAATATGTAGAAGCACTTGTTGCATGGAAAAATATCCTATGCGACTGATATATTACGGTATATGACATACATTAGATTGTTATTACTGATGCGTCAATGTGAAAACAGCATTCTAATGTTGCAGCTGGTTGAGGTGGGGTTAGTTGTAAATACTTTATATAATGTTGGGGAGATTAATCCAGTTCTTCCTGGCCTTTTCCAAATAAATCTGATGTGTCATGATGATTAATGTGGTCGGACAGAAGAAAAAAACATTAGTTCTGCTACACAACTGTGTATCCATTTTTTGGAGTTTTCTCTAGTCTTTGATTTATTTGTCAAATATTGGATAATTTTACCTCTTTGGGTCTTGAACAGTTCTTTAAACAAAACCATGTGAGAAGTTTAGAGGAGAAATTTCTCTTTGGTGGAACATCTGAGACGTGACAAAAGGCCCCTTTCAAATGTCTTTTTGACTTTTTTATGAAGGCTGTGAACCGCTGGTTGAATCTTTATTGTATATACTTATCATATGTTTTGTACGTGAACTTTTGAACTACCAAGTGGTGGAAAATAAGCAAGTACTGTACTGTACTTCAGTACAATTTTGAGGTACTTTTCTATTTCAAGTTGCAGATGTCGATAACAACCCTTTAATTCTGTCTGCCTGCCTTTTTGGTTCTGCTGTGTTTTTCCCGTGCAGGTAGACAAACTTACATCCTTTGTGTCTTTGGTTTGCTGCACCATACAACACACAAAACCTGATCCTACCAATCACTACACCACACTACCACCTTCATCTCTGTTTACACAGCTTTCATTAAATAACATTTTCAATGACTGTTTAAATTATTCAATATTTCATATTTCAGTTCAGAACTACTGGATACTTAACTGTGTGTTAAGTATTTAAAACTAGCTCCACCTTCAGTAGCTATAACAGTCAAATGCTGCTTATACACTGATGCAACTGTAATCTAATAATGTCATATATAATAACATCAGGCACAGGGAACATTTTACTGTACAAACACTACTGTTACTGCTCTGGCATTGGCACTTTTACTTGAGTAAAATTTAAATCCAGGACTTTTGGTTATAATTGAGCATTTTTACATTGTGAAATTGGTATTTTACTTAAGTAAAAGATGTGAGTACTTCTTCTAAATGCAAGTAACAGGTTAAGTATAGCTGTCAGATGCATGCAGTAATGGAGTAAAAAGTACAAAATGAAATGTAGAATGAAGTAGCAGAAAATGGAAATGCTAAAGTGTATTAGAGGTGCCTCAGAGTTATACTTGACTGGTGTACACAGTCCTATAAAATAGAAATGGCACGTCAGGTCACAATAAACCATGTTATGTGACATTTACCAGGTTCTTTGAAGGCATCTCTGAACGACATGCGACATGCAGCGGGTGAATGTAGAGCTTCGAGGACAGAGGAAGTGAGCACACAGGAAGTGCTCACACACAGGGCCACTGTTCTCCTGCATGGTCGCTCAGCCTGCTCCTCCTGAAGACTGGGGTCTGTCAGCATCAACCAAACCTCACCCTGGCCTACATCAGTGCTCTGAAGTCGAAACAGAAAGGCAGACAAAGACAGAGCAAAACAGAATTACTTAGAAACCCAGAATGACCTAGAAAAAGACAATTTAAAGGAAACATTACATAACAAAAGCTTACAAAGCACAAATGAGATGCAAACTGTCACTTCTGAGAACAGCTTTGACAAGATCATTCATTCACCACGCTGCACACAATGCTGGTTTACTAGTACAACAACAGTAAAGAGTGTGGCTGTGTTTCAGTGGTGTGAGCATGTGGCAAAGTCCAGCAATTTGTTCTGAGCTGTTATCTCATCTTGGTCAAAGTTTAAAGGTCAAACCAATCAATGGTAAAGAACGCCCGTGCCTGACACAGATAGTCATACACACAGTGATATGAACGCAGCTGTCGACGTCAGAGCTGAAGTTTTATCAGTTTGTTGGTTCAAATGATCTCAAAGGGATGACTGAAGAGGAGCTCCACAAGATTCAATGTTTATTCTGCTCAATCGGCTTAAGTCAAATCAAATCAGTTTTTCTGGTGTAAGACAAAAAAAAATACCTGAATTCTCTTGTACAGAACAGTGGCAACAAAACTGCACCGGCAGGTTTTCATCTCAATCTGAAAAAGAAAGAAAAAAAAAAAAAAAAAAAAAAAAAATGCTTGAGATCGACCTACTGAAGATAGGTTATCTCATTCTGCAGCACATTTTTTAATTTGTGTGTGTGCTGTGAGAAACTGTTCACCTGCAGTATGTCTCGTAAGGTTCGTCCAGTGGGGGGAACGTACAGGGTGGACACAGTCTGCCCCTCAGTGGGTTCGACAGAGCTCTCCTGACCTGAGAGCAGGTAGCAGAAACTCAGAGCAGGACCTGCAGGTCTGCTCTCCTGTAAACAAAGGACACTTGTAAATACTCTTTATGTTAAGGAAAATATACTGATTCCTAAATTTGTATCATTGTCTTGCCAATGAGCAATTATCCTCAGATAGACATAGACTTTTCTACGGTGGCTCTGAGAGCTCAATGCACAGCAACTTAAGAGAACCTGCAAACATGTTTTCTCTATTTGTGTTGACTGTGCTTTGCAGCATGTTTCTTTATATGTTTATATATGCATGTTTATAAGCAGCATGCTTATGTGTTGTCAAACTGGTGAATTCCTCAGTTTCTTCGCATTTTATTTTTTTGCAGCATTTTTTTTTCTAAATGGTACAAATGTGATGAAATTACAAAAGGTGTTTTCTTCATTTGACTATTTGCATATGTTTTTTAAAACTGCATTAAGCTCTCAGGGAAAGCGTACTTTCCACTACTTTTAAAAAAAAAAAAAACTGCTTTGACAATCTGTGGATCTAAACATTTTTTCCAAATGCTGCACATGTATATTGTTTTGTCTTTTTGCATGTGCTGTGTAAGTTGCAGTGCACTGAGGTCTCAGGGCCAGCTCACTTTTCAGCCCTTTACACTAGTTTGTTTGACATTTTACCTATGATCTTTGAATATTTGCAACAGTGGTACATTTTTGTTTCGCCACAAAAAAAAAAAAAGAAGATAGAAAAAAAGAAGGCACAATGTTAGCCTGGTTCCAGACATCTGAATCATTGCCCACATCTCAAATTTCTTAACGATTTATGGAGCTCTCATGTTGTGCACCCTGACAAACATTTTCCACCTGATAGAGAAACATTCGACCAATCACAGCTTTGTAGGCGGAATTAACAATGGGGAGATCACGTTCCTACAAAACTAGCTGGCTACATAAAGCTTGGATGAGATCGAAGAAGTTGCACTGCTGGTTTTAAGCTGGTGTACAGAAATAACAACTCTTGAACACTTTAATTACACAGAAAGTCAGGTAACTCCTCTTAACTACTACCACGGCCTCTATGTCGTCAAACGTCAGCAGGACAAACATGTCAGAAGGGCTAAACAAAATTAATAACCCCTTCAAACTAGGAATCAGCTAACATGAGAACTGTCACCTGAACAAATGATGTGAAACAAAATGGCAATGGTCCTTATCTAAATGAATGTAGAAACTTTCCTGTAAGATCTGAGACGATTATGAGATTGATTAGTCAATCAACAGAAAAATAATCTGCAACTCTACTGATAACTCATTGAAGAAGTTATTATTATTATTTTTTGGGCATTTTTGCCTTTACTGTGATAGAGACAGTGAGAGAGAGACAGGAAGGTTGGGGAGAGAGAGAGGGGATGACTTGCAGCAAAGGGCCGCGGGTCGGATTCAAACCCATGGCCACTGCGGTTACGACTAAGCCTATGTGGTATGCGCTCCACCAGGTGAGCCCCCGGGGCAAAGGCATCATCTACTTCCAGCTTCTAAATTCATGATTTGATTTTCTTATTTTCGCTGATAAACATGATAATAAACTAAATATATCTAGGCTCTATTAAAGCTTCATCTATCAGTTATTTCCTTGATTAATATTTTGGTCCATCTAAGATGTCATAATTTCCTAAAAGCTTTTTCTGACCTTTTCAAATGACTTGTTTTGCTTGACCCAAAAATCCAAAGATATTCACTTTACAGTGTCACAGAAAAACAGTTAAAGGGCTGGAACCAATGAATGCAGTTTTGCAAGAAAAATGACAACACAGTAGTTGCAGATTCATTTCATATCAATCAACTATGTAAATTTGGTATCATCCTCTTCGTCATGAGTACATTATTTTCTGAAATTTTAAAGACCAAGTGATGTTTGATGTGACAATTATTCAAGAAAATAAATTAGCAGGTTAATCGATAGTGAAAACAATCATTAGTGTCGTATTATAAAAACGAATATGAATATTCCCAAACCAAGGCCTCTCTTGGGGAAATGCATGATTTCTGCTGAAGTCAGAACTTACACTGGACATGCTTGATGTGTTTCCATGATCTTTGAGAGGCATCACTGGGGGCCACAGACTGTCGATCAGGCTGAAAAGCCTGGTGCGCCTGAGAGTGAGACACAAAAAGGGAAAGAGTAAGGAGGGAGGCAAAAAAAAAAACAAAAAAAAACAAAAACAAAAATGGTTGGGGGGTGGGTAAGGAGAAACTGGTGAATAAGGGACTTCAGTGAGAAGACCGAGAGTTTTCACTGCCAGTTTCACTTCCAGTGAAACATGAATCTGTTAAGACAGAGCTTGTTCTAACGTCACCTAGAATTAACAGACAACATGCTTGGGCTGGCAGAGCAGATACGCATAAAAACAGTTTTCACAAGCAGGTTGAGAGATTTTGAAGGGTGGGAAAACAGTTCACACCCTATGTAAATCACATTATCATTGTGGTGCAAAACTAACAACGCTAAGAAAAAAAGTGATTTCAAACAGCCACGTCTATAATGCTTGATTCATAACATTTGGCCTCTCTCAACACATCCTTAATCTCAGTAATGACAGATAATACTCCCGCATGACATTTCATTTACGTCAAACAGATATTAGCCCGGAGGATTCAAACATTAAGAGGGGAAAAGGCAAACTGGAGCAACTTCAACGGGAAACGTCAATCTCTTGATTCATTGTATGCTCTCTGAGAAGAACGTGCTGAGCTCAGGTTGGCCGGTCAATGTTACTTATTCATCCATGTGGGCGCTGTCATATCAGCCAGTGGTTAACAACCTGTTAGTCAGCCTGTAATCACAGGGTTTCTTTGTGTGGAACCGGTTCTGCAGACCATTCAAGTCCAGTGAGGCCTGCTCAAGGATGAGTAACGACAAACTAACAGGACTCATTCAAGACACTTTGATTTGACACTGAGCTCATATACTTGTTGAGAGAACATTTAAGTACGTTTGATTTACTACTTTAGGGTACAGCTGTGGTTTGTGCTGGTTAGTTATCTTCAGGTCTCGCCCTCCATCCTTACAGGTACAATTTTATCTTTATTTAGTTGGCACACATCCAAGAATATGCTACTTCCTGTGACAATCACTCCTTCCAATAATGTTGACAGCGCACACTACCAATAAGTGACAGGGTGGCTTGCAATCTTTTGCTTAGAAACAAAGATATTCAGCTAATAGTTGGGATGAGAGAAAAGTAATGTTAGTATTTGGGAAGCTGGAGCTGGAGTTTTTTGACATTTTAGCTTGATGGGTTTTTAGGTTTTTCTTTTTTTTCCTTTTTAAATCAATGAACCAATTGAGCTCTAATAAATAATAGTTTGTGTTTATGTGGTTTTTCTTGCATAATATTACTGCCTCTTAACTAATCTATTGGTTATGAACCTTCTGTGCTATCTTTGTGACTGTTTTTTTGTTTTGTTTTTTGTTTTGTTTCCACAACCCTCAAAGACTGATATTGTTAAAGGTAAAGGTATAGTTCATACATTTATTGGCTTTAATGTGGGGTTAGATGAGATGGTTCATACTCTAAGATTAAATATAAAGCTGCAGCCAGCAGCTGGTTAACTTACCTTAGCCTAAAAACTGGAAACGGGGGAAACCGCTAGCTTAGCTCTGTTCAAAAGGAAACAAAATCCACCTCATCTGCTTCAAATCAGTAAGTATGTGTGTTACCATTTATTGGCTGGGTTCAGTAACATTGTGAAGTCTTGTTGTCACCATCAGGTCAATTAGAGAACTTCAGCAGGCGTTCAATGTTTAAGCAACCAAATAACCACAGGATAAACTGTAGAAAAATAGCAATCAAGTCACAAAGTTTATCTGCATTGCATTTTTTGCAACGTACATTAATACCATTCAAATGAATGAGGAGGGGCTGTGTTTTTTCATGCAGTGATTAGGTTGGACTGAATGCAACCTTATAGGTGGCAGGCAGATTTTTTTTTTTTAACTTTTGGAGAGAGCCAGGCTAGCTTCCCTCTGCTTCTAGTCTTTATGCTAAGCTAGGCTAGCTGTCTGCTGGCTGTAGCTTCATATTTAACAGATGGACACGAGGGTAGTATTAATCTTCTCATCTAACTCTTGGCAGGAAAGCAAATAAGTAAAATCTTTCCAAAATGCCAAACTATTCCTTTAAGGTATGAATTATTAGGATATGTGTAGAGGTCCAGTAGTTTCTAAGAAACTGGGGAAAAAAATGAATGTCTGGTTTACTCCAGCTCCAACCAAACCCACGTGTTTTTCCACTTCAGCTAATACAACAGCCCATGTGTGAGCCCTGAAGATAGCCCATCCATCACAGTGTGGCCACAGACAACCTCCAGAGACCTTATAGGCTGTGGTAGCATTGAAAATACCAAGGATGTAAACATACCCCCAGCCTGTCTCTAAATGTTCCCATGGCACTTCTTCTAACTGCTTCTAATCTGGGATCTTGAATATGGAAACTCACAAGGGACACAGAGCATGCACCTCGGTATCACTTTACATGTAAACACAGTGGCACTGCTGGCAGGACAGCATAATAAGCTGCAAACATTAAATTGTCCTTGTATTGTCAATGTGGTTTTCAATGTTTACAACAGGGTATTCAAGGCTAAAAATGGGGAATTTGCTGTGGTTTATAATAATGGAGATTCACACAGAAGGCACCAAAGGCAGTGTCCACATGTGTGTGATGGTTTAATTTGAGATTCACTTTCTAGTTTACCAGCATTGTAATATCAGGGCCCATCTATCACAAGTTTTTACCCAGGGCTGTCGTCCTGGACGGCAAAAGAGCGAGAAAAGATAACCTCAGATATAGCAGAAATCCATATCACAACTTGGTATCGGTCACAGGTTGAAGTTTACCTATGGCTGTGAACTGAGATTCAGGTGATAAGCTATCCTCATCTGGCGTGGAGTGATGAGTACACAGGATTGTGATGGTCTCACCTTTCTCGAGTGACCCGCTGCACCACTTTAATGCCTCTCAACACACAGGTCTTCCCTTGCCACTTCTGGCAGTAGTGGAGGAGGTCGTCCTTGCATGGCAGCAGGTGCAGCTGGACCACGCTGAACATGCCGTAACTGTCCTGGACAAGAACACACAGCCTGGAGAAACACCACATGCAGAAACAAAATTAACAAAATTAGACTGATTTGATATGTTGCTCTGAAGATTAATATTTATTATTCATGTGGAGTAAACATGAGTTTCTGTTTAAATTCAGTGTTTCTCAGCAAAATGCAATGTGTGTATCCTAGAGGCCTTACAACAGTGTTGAAATTCCTTCCTCATTGCAAAACTGACATTTTGACTATTCTAAGTACTGCATTGAATACTAGCTTGTAGTCTTTTTCGTCACTGTCTTTCCTGGTGTATGGCAGCGCTTTTTTAACATGTTACTGTCAACCTGTAACTCAATCATGTAACAACACTGCTCCTTAGCGCTACTAGTGGTCAACAAACCCCATTTGGTAGCTTTAAAGTTTAGGATCATCATTTCATTTCTTTTTTTATTTTTTTTATTTTTTTAGTTTTTACAGATTTTTATCGACAAAACAACTAGAAGATGATTTTCATGCGTAGTTTCTGTTTCCAAACATAAAAAAAAAGTTGCAATTTTTTCTGTCCAAAGAAAAAGAGTACTATTCAGCATACTGAGCATTGAATGCCACCAAAAATTTAAAGAAAGTTTAAATTGTCACTTTGTCACTTTTTGCCAGACAAAGTTCAAGAAGTTGTCCCTCTTAACTTTTCAAGCCAACGTGCACTTGAAGTCCTGAAAGGTCTCCGGACAATACAAATTTAAACATCTGCAGTTTCAAAAATGCAAAAAACGGCTGGAACAAACAAGTAAGCTGACTCTCGTGCGGTGCCTTTGTTCTGGCGGCACGTGCACCCTACTGAGGATTTACGCACAACCCATTTTTTCAATAGGCACCCTCAGGAGTAACACTGTATTAATATATATAGAAAAAATACTCAATAAATAAATGCTACTACTACAAGTATTTGTTTAATTATTTGTGTTGAACATACTACTGCAACCCAACTGTATTATTGTTTTCTTTTTTTTTAATACTGATCACAGTGACACACAAAAAAACAGTTAAGGGTTAGTCATGACATTTGTTAGGGTGTTAACACTGGCTGGTTTGACAGGCTACTGCTGACAGAAAAGACCTTTGGCCTACAAAGTTGTGAGGCAGTGAACTGCAGTATATTCCCTCACCCTGCTGCTCCCAGTGAGCATACAGCCTGAACTGCTATAGGCTCCAGTATCTCAGTAAGTCAAGCCCAGACACAGCCCTGTACAAGCCCCGAGAGTAAACAGTGGAGTTCATATCCCCTGGTTTGACAAGCAACGTCCAGGGAAGGAGAAATAAACAGGGAAGAGGGAGGAGGACTGTCAACGTGCCCATCATGCATGTGCATGCATGCGCATATCCCAGACACTAGGATCGTTTTGAGACTGTTTTCAACCACCTGATAGGCCTATAAATGTCCTCTGTTGGTAAACATGGGGTCTGTCTGTGTTTGCTTTGAGAGACCTGGAAATAGATATCTAAATAACATTCCTGACATGACTTCTGGTGGCGTAAGCCAATGTTTTAACCAAGATTATTCCCAGTTGTTTGCTTACTTCACAATCCAAAATCAGACCTATACAACGCCTTGTTAAAACAACAAGGAAGGTTTAACATACAAAAAAAGTTCTTTAACCTTCAAGCATCATCCGTAAACACAAGTGCAAAGTTCAAAGTGTAAAGTGAATGTACCCAGCCCCTTTTACACGGATGGTATTTATCGCAGCAAAGATGAATCACTTCTTGAAAAAAAAAAAAAAAAAAAAAAAAATCTTAAGATGGCTCAAAACAGTATCATTCCTGAAAGACAAACGTAAACACATTCTTTTAAGACAACACTTACTACTGTAGGAGTGAGCTACAGTCCTATGAAGAACCCTGTCATAAAAATTGTAACCAATAGGCTGCAACTTACAAAAAAAGACAAAAAAGAAAAAAAAGAAAAAAGAAAAATAATTCGCTGTCAGCAACTTCAAGTCTGAAACCTAAAGAAATTCAATTTAGACTTATAAAGAGAAGGCTGAATTTCTTCACACTTGAGCATCTGGAACCAGCAAACATTTTTGGATATTTTGTTTGATAAATTACTTTCGATTGATTATCAAAGTTTTGTCGACTTCTGACAACTGACTAAACAGTGGTTTGCTTTGATTTCACTTCCTGTCCAGTCCGCCCCAAAACAGCTCTATGAGGTTTAAGTCTGAAGACTGTGCTGTAAGGTTGGGCCATGTCTATTGAACTGGCATGTGATTATAAAAAAAAACATTTTAAATACTTGTCATAACCATGTAATAATGGCGTTGACAAACGTGGTCGCTAAACAAGGTACCACTTTGCCCACCTGGCAGCACTTTGGTCGTTAGCCTAACTCAAGAGGACAGCCAAGAGACACTGTGTACAGAAGTAATGCGTTTTCTATTAAATGTACATGATTTTTCAGTTTTTGCTGACCTTTTTTTTTTTCTTCATTTAAACCTTGCTCAGTTTACCTCTGACCTTTGTACCATTTAAGGTTACTGGACTTGAACTGATGAATATTTCAATAAAAACTGTCAAAAATTGGGGGTGTTCTAAAACCTTTGACGGGTAGTATAAACACACTTTCACTAAGTTGAGCTTGTATGAACTTGAAAAAAACTTAGTGTGAAAGCTGATAAGACACTTGACAGACAAAAGAAAAGCGTGATGAGACTTGTGGTGGTACTAACTTGACATCAACAACCAAAGCACTATTCAGTACCTCCTTTTAGCCGTTCACAACCCCACTTCCTCAAACAGTGACCCCTCACTCCTAAAAACCTCTGCCATAGGCCAGTTTTAGTCACAGACCATTTTCAGGAATTTGTTATTGTGAGCGATCACAGAAAATTCTCAGCAACTCAGGTTTCTTTCCAGGAACTACGATCCACTGAGTCTGTGCAAACACATACACACATGCTCCTTCACACACACACACATGCGCACACACACACACACACACACACACAGTCACACTGTGTACACATGCAAGCCCACGCACATGAACATTACTTGGCAACACACTAAGTAAGCGACCCACACATTGAGAATACAGCAGAGAGGCCTCATTGGTGGGGGGGCTGACAGGCGGGATTCCTTCCTATGCGTTGTCCACCAATCAGTGCAGGCAGAGCGATAAACACGGTTGTAACAGGATCCTTGCAGCACATTGTGTTCCTTCTCCACCAAGAAAAAAAACAACTAGCCTCTCCTCACTTCCTGCAAACAGTTAATCTTCTTGTTTATTCTACTCTGAATTTACGGGAACTTAACATCTTCTTCAGGCATAAATATCATACTGGCCTCTCTCCCCTGTGTGTTAACACAGAGGCTAAACAACAAAAGGATCAAATAAGCATGCTGACCAGGGGAGTGAGTCATAGAGGCTGGGGACACAACATGAGAGGTACAAACTGTCCTTGTCTTTATACAGAATGAGGCCAGTGGGCTGCGAAGTAAACTACCCTGCTCTCCACAGAGCAGGCATGCATCCTGGAAAAGTACTTAAAGCAACACAATGTACCAAATGTTGTTATTTCTGTGCAGCAATTCACACCAAAACCTTTCATGAAAAGGCACAAAAGTTAGAGGGGTTCAGGCGTTTAGTTACTTAAATACGTCGCTATACTATAGAAAAAACAAGACGGTAAAAAACGAAAACAAAATATAGGAAAGCAGACAGATAATACAAATTCAGGACTCTAGACAATGTTCTGATTTGTCACAAGATGCAGGATGGTCACCCAGATATTCTGAACTCGAGCCCTCGTGATCACCTCCTAACCTCTGCCCCACCTCCATCCTTTCACTACCAACCGAGCCTGTTAAATCCGGTCGAGTTAGAGAGAAACGGAGGAAAGGGCGGGAGAGTTTCCGGTCAGAGGGCGGCGTTTGTTTACCAGCCGCAGAAGCAGCATGGCAGGAGCAAGTGTCATATTACAACCGCTGCTCATTTAGTCAGTTAGCCTGTCAGCTGACCAGGGCTCTCCTCCCTTCACCACAGAGTGCCCCTTGGGCCCCTCCACTCAGGGAAACCAATACTTTACTTTTATTACTCAGCAAAGGACAAAAACAACAAGCCTGGGGAGGGCCAGGCAACTTCTGGACTTGCTTCAAATAGAACAGTCACTGATTCATTAACTATAACAAGACCACTCGAGTAAACCTCTAAGTCCTTTCAACACCACAGGGCACTTTAAACAGCTTGTACTGGATACAACAGACACTTCTTTTTTATCAAGATAAGAATGCTAATATGACATATATCACTACACTAATTATTATTTTTATATCAACAATGCAAACAATAACAACATATAATGTTAACGGTGTCACTCAGTGACAAACCCACAGATAATTATCATCCAACTCTGCAGTTCCCCTCAGCTCAACAGAGCATTTAGCGTCTTTTAGTCCACAGCCAGCCCCGCGCTATACGTCAGACTGACACTTTTACCGACTAGCTGGTGAACATAGAGCATTTAGTGGCTACAGAGTAAATTTTATTTGTTAGCTGGCCGGCAACACGACTACAAATAAATGCTAATGTTACTCCATGTGTTTGGAATATGTAAATAGGCAACTGTTGGCTAACATATTCATCATAACAACCATAAGCTGACGTTATCTAAGTGTTGTGTTGACAGCTTGTTGCACTGCCACCAAGTGGCCCTAAAAAAATAAAATAAAAAGTAAAATAAACAAATAAACAAGATGAAGTAAGGTTTAAAATAAAAGTCAAATTCTAGAGCTGCAACTAACCTTTACTGCCATTACAGATTGATCTGCTGATTAATTTCTTGATTCCTCATTTCGTCTATAAAATGTCCGAAAAACTGCAAAAAATGCACGCTACAGCCCGACGTGACGTTTTCAAATCTCTTGTTTGGGCCAACCAACCCGAAGACAGTTTACGACCATGCATCACAATGAAAAGCCTAAAATCCTCACATTTGAGAAGCTGGAACCAGCAATAGAAAAACACTTGACATGATTACTCAATTATCAAAATAGCTCACAATTCATTTTATGAAGGTTGACTGATTGATTAATTGACTCTATAAAGCTCTATAAATTAAATTTCTTTTCAGTGAATATTAATGCAAGGCCCAGGCTTCAACTTCAGATAAAGTAACCAAAACTAAAATAAATCTTACCCCGTCCCACTAAACTGTGCATATTTTGTAATGCTGTTTCTGATAGGAATGACATTTTACATCCATAATAAAACATACTTTACTGTTTAACTTTTGAACATCAAGATGAAAAAAAAAAAAAAGAAAGCTGTTCCACCCAGTGGAGTATGAGTGGGCACAAGTTGAACTCTGTTTGCTAGTGCATGAGATTCTGAAAACATCATGCTGTCTTTCCTGAGTCTTAGCCAGAAACTCTCAGAGGGGCTGGATTCAATTAGAAGTATTTGTGTCCTTTGTCAAGCAATGCCATATGGCTGGAGACAGAGTGAGCACTTTGTGGGGCCGGCTGCTCTGTGAACAATAGCTAAACCACTGAGACACATTCTGCCACCAAGGAGAAGCCTGCAAGGCCTGAGACCAAGGAAACCAGCATGCAACTTTTACAAAAAGAGTAATTTATATTGTGGAAGAGAAACATACACAGGAGATAAAATGTGATTCATTTTTCCCAGTCTCTCTTGGCTTCAAGTACAAAACCAAAGGCCTCATTGGGCCGCCAATTATCAGCTTGTCCAACAGTACCTGGTTTTCCCTTTCTCTGCTGGAGGAGGAGCTGAGGAGGATCTGGAGGGAACTCTGGGTTTGAGGATGGACACAGCAGAGCCGTCAGGCACAGGGATGGAGAAAACTCTCTGAACCACCACCTCCACATCCTGCCCAACACAGCCGGCCTGGCCCAGTCCCTCAATAGCTTCCAAGAGAGAAAGGCAGTGTCTTGTCAAAATCCCTGGACCTCCAAAACTGCACAAAGCATCAGGAACAGCGACCTGGAGAGAAGAAAACAGGATATGAGATAATACTTTACATTAAGTATACATAGCAGTTGAACCAATTAGTTGGCTAATGAGTTGATTGCAAGAAAATCATTCAACATTTTAAGTAATTTTAAACAACATTTTACTGGTATCAGCTTCTGAAATGTGAATTATTTGCTGGATTCATCTTCTATGACATTTTTGACAATTGAATATTTGGGGTTTTCGACTATAAGTCAGCCATTTAAAAAAAACAAAACTTTTTCTGACATTTTATAGCCCAAATGAATAAACTATTGGTTAAGGGAATAACTGTCAGGTTGAATGATAATCAAAATAATAATTACAGTTCCACAGCACTTCCACTGAAACCACAGAGAGATAGTTAAATTAGACTTATTTCCATTTGCATAACCCAGTTTTGCTTCAATAGTGTGTAAGCTTAGCTCATGCTCTTCTTTATGCAGCTTACTGCACAAGCACAAACTACTAACACAGTAATATGCACCTTGTTTCATGTCAACAAAGATCCTAATCATTTCATTACTTTGTATTGGAAATCGGCTTCAAAATAAGGGTGTGGTCACTGATACCATGTTTTTCGTGTGTCTTGATCACTTAATTAATTTCTAGATTCAGATTTAGGGAATCAAACATGCATGTCAATCAACCACTTGTGATATTGCTACAACAGAGACTGAATGCACCGGCAGCTGTCAGGTATGGGCTGGATGCTCCATGTCTGTTATTCTTTGTGTAGAAACACTGTAAAATGAACCCAATGAACCCTGCGGCAAAACCTGCTGTTCACACAGTTGCACCTGTGACTTAGTAAGTACGAACTTAATAAGAATAGTGCAGCGAGTGTCCCATGGTGCAATGATTCAATTTCATTTTTATAGACATAAACAACTATACCCAAGCTGAATCTTATGGCTGGAAGCCAAACGATCCTGCAAGCAACACACTGATGGTGACATCACAACGCTGGCGGTGTTATATGCTAATTTATTGGACTGATGTCAGTTGTCTGTCTCACAGTAATTGATCTTGCACTTAAAGTGACTGAAAAGAGTTTAGGAGGCAAGATAAAGGTTTTAAAAAGTTTGTTTAATGTCAGAAAGTGGCAGCTAAATTTTGAAGCATACACACCTGTTTGGCATCGGCCTCTGCGGTGGTCCTGCACACCTCCAGCAGTCCAAATATTTTACCCAAATAATACGGCATGCATCTCTCTGCTGAGAGCAGGCTTCTTGAGACGGACATGCTGGCAGGTTTGGAAGCAGAGAAGACTTTCTGGCTGAAGTGTGTGTTCAGAATAATATCACAGCTGAAGCCCTCTACAGAAAGACGTTGCCTAAAAGAGACAAAGTTCATCAGTTTTAGATTCAGAGTATAGCAGTTGGTTGAGTGCTTTTGTTGCAAACTCTGCACTTTCTTATTGTATGGCACAAAAGAACTGAGATTGGTATCTTGAATTCATCATGAAATTAAACATCTTTAAGGTGTTGGGCAATGATAAACAGTGTGTTGAGATTATATTGATAACAGACGCAAAAACTCAGATTTTACATAAAATGGAATAGGTTGTTGCACAAACGTAGGGGGGCTGACAGCTCCAGACTGTTTGAATGTCAAACTCAGATAAGGTGCCAACCACCTCCACAGGGCTGTTCACTGTGTAAATACATTAACCTCCTCCAAGGCAACTTAAAATACACAACTGATGTATTTGTCCTCTTTTCACTGGGGTAAAACATCATTTTCCATGTAATTGAGGTTCTTCTTAAAAGGCTACACCTCGAAGCACTGCACAGCTTGATTGAAAACACTTTCCAAATGTGACATCATCTGTGGAAAAATACTTCAACACCCGACATAATCAAACAGGCTGAGGGTTTGCTGATGAAAAACACAAAATAAAATCCACAGACTGCAAACGTGTAGCCCCGAAGGCTCTGGTGCTACGCTTCAATTTTACCGATACCAGCCTAGATTTCACTCATCTGTGTGTGCCAAGAAGGAAATGCTGAAGTTCTCCTTAAATACGTAGGAAACATTTCTGGTCAAGTATCTTAGCTCATCCAGACAAATAACACACCTGAGTGATACGGAGCCTGAGAGTAAAAGAACTTGAATAATGGCCAGATAATTACATGGCACGTTGTTTGTAGTCAAGTTTGAGTTACGACTTAATTTTTTCCACATGTGAAGAAGATAATGGTGTGATGATGGCTTATCACTGACTCAGAGCCAAGTGCACTCCGTGACTGGAACTGCCGTACACGTCTCAGCTTGCCTCAGAGCTGGGGTGATAGTTGAACCAGAGAAATTAAACACACAGATACGTGGGGAAAAAAACGATTTGTTTGGACATACAATGATAACACGGGAGATGATTATTTAGAAAACTAAATTAAATTATTATTTACACACAGCCGCCAGCTTTAGGTACACCTTGCTAAAACGAAATGTAGTCGAGTGTGACTTTTATTAAGGTTATAAAGTTTAGTTTTGATTAAAACTATTTTAGATAGGTACTGATTTAATTCTATGGTCATTTTGGAAGCTGTAGTTAGTCATTTCGTTGAAGTTTATTGTGATATACTGATTGATACTCATTAAGTGTAAATACTGTGTCCTTGTGCCAATCAAAAGTGGTCATTACGAATTATAATTACATATAGAAATTATGTATGCAAAATTAAAAATATTTAAATGGATAGAGGGTTGAACATACCAACACACAAATCTGCACAAACTACAGTCTAGAAATAAATCAACAACTTTTTGACACTGAAAATTATAGTTAAACTTCACACAGGTAAAAGTTTTATTGCAGTGTTATTGCCGTTAGTTACATTAGACTGTACATACAGTTCTTTACATTGTTTCTATTCCTTGTAGTTATGTAGTTGAGCAAGATGAATAACAATATTATGCATTCACCAAATCCAGTACCCACTACCTTCCCATGCTGGTGCAGACACAAGCATGACTCATCGATTAGTCAGTCAACTGAAAATGAATCCATTGATGTTTTGACAGTCAATAATTTTGAGTCATTTATATGTAAACATTTGCTGGTTACAGCAGTGTTACAGCCTCCACCCATGGCTGTCCGCAGGAGTTATTGATGTTGACAAATACATTAATGAACACTTATATCTGCTTTTTAAATTTTTTTTTAAATGCTTTATATTGCTTATAAATGCTACATAGGAGAAATTAAAGTAAGTGAATACAATTTAAAGAACTCTTAACTTATGGTATAGACGTTTTCATTATTTCTGAGTCTATATTATAGGAATTATATATTGGAATTACAACCTCATGGTTGAATTCCAACCAGTCCAATTGTAGTTAAAAAGGCATGTCAATTCTTAAGTTATGAGCAAAAATTTGTTTTGTGTGGTCACAGTGACCTTGACCTTTGACCTTTGACCTCTGACCTCCAACATCTAATCAGTTCATCTTTGGGTCTAAGTGAATGTTTGTATCAAATTTCAAGAAATTCCCTCAAGGTGTTACTGAGATATCACGTTCACGAGAGTGGGACGGGATACAGAGGACGGAAAGACAACACGTAAACATAATGCCCTCCGGCTACGGCTGTCACCGCCACAGAGGCATAAAAAAATCTGCAGTGTGAGCAGATATCCATAAAATACTTCCAGACCGAGTAGATGTTGAAACCCTACCATCTTATTTTACAATGCAAACCTTTGGTAAATCCAAGAGACGAAAAGTAACATTAGTTACAATTTTGAGATACTTGCATTTTACTAAAACATTTCCATTTTATACTACTTTGATTACTATACTTCTACTCTACTACATTTCAGAGGAAAATAGTTTGTTTCACTAAACTTCTCTGACAGATATCTTTATTTTCCAGTTTAAATTTTATTTAGAAAACAAATGAGTTTATAATATGTGATTTAAATATTGTACACTAAATTATCCAAACTCCACTTCAACCAACAATGACATTAAACTACTGCATACATGTCGATGCATCACTATTATTGATCCAATATAAAAATATACACTAGGGTGATTTGGCATAATGAGTACTTTTACTTTTGATACTTTAAATGCTTTTAAGTAACATTTTGAACGGAGGACTCTTAGTTTTGTCTTTCATAGTGCAGTATTGCTATGTAGTAAATGGTATGAATATTTCTTTCATCACTGCTGTTCCTGTTTCCAAACATAATACATACATACTGACTTATCTCACCTATGACTAACTCAAAACAACAACTCATGTTATGATGAACGCCTATTAACAACTTTTATCGGTTCTATATCTAAGCAGATATCAGTCATCAGTAGAAGCTATACTTCAGTGTTAGTAGAGCAGAACGTACTGTTCACAGGAACAGGTACAACGCCCGTACAGGAAGTGTGACCCCACTGTGAGCAGGTGAGTGGGCAGCTGTCATCATCTGACAGGTAGCCGGGTTAAGGAGTGGCCCTGGCTGCTGGCGTCACAGCCTGTAAGTGAATAATCCCTGCAGGTATTTCCGCTCAGTCCTCAGCCCACTCACAACAAGGCGTGGGAGGGGGGAGGAGCCAACCTACTCACTGCAGGAATTACGGGGGAGGTTCAACCCTCGAGTGTCACACAGGAAACTCATAAGAGGAATTTTACCAGCCATGCTGATGCTCTAAATTCTGGGTTTTTCCACTTTGGCCTGTCCTGTAGCTGTAAAAGTTGGACAAACTATTATCTCTTCACAGATTATTTAGCTTGTCATCAGCTTTTCCTTGTGATAATGTTTGTATTGTTATGATTTAGAGTCTTTTTATTGAGTTAAATTATTGATTGATTTAAAATGTAAACCAAATGCTGTTAACTTCTGAAAGTAATTTACACTAACAGAGAGGATTAAAGAATGCATGTTCACATGAAAAGTAATTCTTTGAAAGTATAAATGGGTGTGTTTTTTTCTTTTGAGGGTGGGTGGGGGAGGGGGTCTCAACTCTATTTTCTGATTTCAGGAATAGAATACAACATGGAAGGAGAGGTGCAAAAGCCAGAGATACTCTCAAACCACCATGTGTTTTCAATCTCAGCCCTCTGGCTCCCTCCACTCTCTGCTCCCAAATGCTCCAAAAAATAATCCTACTGTGTTTTTTCCCCGGCTTGCTGGAAATGACCTAACTACTGCCAGGAAGAGGAATGTGAAGCATTCCCTGGAGCTGTTCGTGACGTCAGAGCGCAGAGGAGGCCCCTGCGCTTCCGCCAGCCTGGATATTCCAGAGCACATTCAACGCAAACTCCCAACAGCTGGAGTCAAATGTTGCTGCCTCGCGCCAACTCCAAAACAATCCCGAAAACACCCCCCTCCCGCCCTTCCACCCCCCAAACCCCCCCCCCACCTCCTGCTCCATATGTGAGGGATCGTTCTTCACATCTGGGCCTTTGCTGCTTACTCTTGTGAGCTGAGAACACAATGATGATACTTAAAAATCCAAATAATTAATTTTAATTATGATTGCTATAGAATTATCATTAAATTAGTGTTTTTCAATGTTTAATGAGCATATTGATCTGCAGTCCACCAGTATGCCTCCTCAGCATTATTTTGTAAGTGCATGTCAGTCTTGTATTGTGTAACTGCCTGTTACACTGTCTTTTTTGTGTAGTTTTTGATCGCCTGCCAAGAGATGAGTAAGTTTGAAATCAAAAACGAGGAAATGCAAGAAAAGGTTTCAGTGACCGGAATTGAATGTTTTAACTTGGAACTTATTTCTTCTTCTCATAGCTGAAACAATAAATCGATTAGTGAATCAACATCATACATTTTTCTCTACTGACCAAACGATTACTAGGAAATGCAGTTATCAGTGATCCTTAATACTGTATCTTACAAATCAAAGTTTTCCTGCAGTTGGTGCTTTTGACAGCTGCCAATTTCAGACCCTGCTGACTGCCCTACAGCTCCAAATATCCACATCTAACCGCTTATGTGTGTGTATGCACAAAATGTGCAAAATGTAATTTTCTTTTAAACATCCTATGTGGAATGGAGTGGTGCTGTGCTCATGGTCTGAACCAGCATTGTTGAGATGAGATGCTGCTGTCATTTTGTTTAGTCTGTGCTGTTAGACTTGTTTATATGTTTATTTCTTGTGTTTGTGTTCATTTCTCTTGAAAAGAAAAGTCTATAAAAAAAAAAAAAACTTAAATTTAAAAAAAGCATTTTAAGACGTTCTGAATAATAATGTGTTGATGTGTTGTTCCATAAAAAAAAAAAAAAAAGAAGTAATTTACATCTTCCTACCTAAAAAAAATCCAGAATCTATGAATACACAAACTTTAAGAGTCTGTATGTGCACTGCAGGTTTCACGTTTCCACAGCGTTCTAAAATTCTGCACGTGTATCATTCTGCACATTCAGGGTCAAACATCCAGGTGAAGTAACAATAAGCTAATCACATTTCTGAGTGGACCGGGGGACTTTAAAGGGTGACACGTATTGCATCCTCTCACCATGGCGGGTATATGTGGATGATATCTCTGGGCGCAGGAATCAGCTGGGCTGCAGTCTCTCTGTTGAAAAACACCAGCATACGAGCTCTCTCCTCAGAAACAGGGTTACTGTGTTGGTGGCCCTGTCCGGGGGGTTGGTGGTGCTCACAGAGCGCCAGTTGCATGCTGCACTCCTCCTGAACCTCCAGCACCTCCAGCACCAGCACACCAGGCCTGTCCACTGGAGAGCAGAGCAACAACAACACAGATGTTGAGTGTGTGCCTGTTTCAGTGTGTGTCTGCGTACAGAGTGTACTCGTGCTCTCACGGACCCCTACTCCCTGTGGGACTCATTATGCATTACGAGAGTAATTCACTTTTAGCATCAGAACAATTTGCACTGCATAACTGTGAAGCTGTTAGTGACTCAGGCTGAGGTGGATATGAAACGGAGTAAATCCCACTGGGTGGATGTGCAAATGTTTGGAATTTTACCACGGCTCTGACTGTACTTTTGGCCTGGACAATAAAGACGACAGATAATTGAGAAGAGCAAATCAAGACACTGCCCTGAAGCTATAAATCAAACTCAGATAACATAGCAACATGGCTGTATGTAAAATTTGTGTGTAAACTTGATTACACTGAATTGTGAAAACTGCAACAAGAGAGCTTTGCAGTTTAGTGTCTCTGTATGTTAATCCCTGACTGTGGCCAGAGGGGGGTGGGGGGATTTTTAATATGATAAGCGTAAATCACTGGAGAGCTTTTGAGTTTTAACATGCATTTGTCCAAACATGAATGTTAAGTGCTTCATTTGTGGCTCAGTGCATTTAGGTCCCACATTACAAAATCATCAGAACAACCTCAGGTAGCAGGCCAAGACGCAGATAGTACCCGAGTCCTCCTCCTGACCTATAATGATGTGATTAGTCGCAGGCAGAGCATTATGTCAGGAAACAAATCAAGGCCTCCTACACGTGATTGTGCGAGTGCTGTTACATCACACGCCAAAATTACTACAGCAAAGATAAACAGGTGCCCTACAAGAGTATGATCTAGTTGTGTAACAGTGTTGTTATTATTAACAATGTGCCAGGAAGTGGAATAGTTGAAAATGAACAAACATGCTACTACTTTTTTTTTTTTTTTTTTTAAAGCCATCTGACTTTAATACTGATAATAAAAAAATGAAGTCAAGTTAACATAACCCACCACATTTTAACCCTGTGTTAAACTCTTACGCTAATCAAACCATTGACTGACCACAAATTCTTAAGCTGCATCAAGTGGGTGTATTCCTTTTCCACAATCAACTGTCGCTGCTTGTGTCCTATTATAAAGAGATACTTAAAAACGACAAAACACAAGTGCTTTGGTACACCATGGAAAGGAAAAAAGAAAAAAAAAAGAAAAAGAACTAGGCAGCCGTTTCCTGTCACCTACATAGCCAGCCAGCCAACACTTCCTCAGCGTGGCCTCTCCATGCAATCACAAAAAAAGAAAGAGAGAGAAAAAAAAAAAAAAAAAATCATCACACCTGCTTAGAAAGAGGGCTTCATCCCACTCACAAATCAAAGTTCATTGTTAAACTTAAACAGTGACTCTGAGGTGTGGGTGTGTGTGTATGTGTGTGTGTGTGTGTGTGTGTTTGTGTGTGTGTGTGTGTACGACATCCTGATGTGATGTTAAAATGCAATAGGTTGGTCTAATGTGGATCACCTGTTGTTGTTGTTGCTGAGGTGTCAGAGATGGACTGGTGCCTCCAGAAGCTGATAGCTGACCTCTGTCTGCACTGGAGTCGATTCAGCCTCTCAGCAAAACCTCCGCTGTGCCCCACACACACACACACACACACACACACACACACAGATGTAGATGATGTTATGTGATAAACTCACACTGCAAATACAACCTGAAGAAATGCAGAATGCAAAGGAAAAAAAAAATGTTCTGATGCAGGCAACATGCTGTCGAAGACTACAGATAGCCATCTGTCAGATTTACAGGGGCTTGTAGACGGCAGTGACATTTAGCACCCACATCATGACACCAGGTGTCCCTTTCATCAGCAGTTCTGGTGTGGAAACATTGCAGCCAAAGTCTGACTGTCACCTGGCTTATATGTCTTGTCTAGTTTTTCTGCTCCTATTATAAAGCAATACACTATAATGTTTGTACACACTCTCTGGCCGCTTTATTCAATACAACAGACCTGCCACAAACTGTACATGTATAAAGATGATCATGTTTGAGAAATTTTTAGGACTTTCTGAACTATATGTATAAGAGGTTGTAGTTAGTGGTGGTGTTGACTGCATCATATCCAAATGTGTTTCCAATATTCTTCCCCCCTCATGTTTGTAAATGGGGTGGCCAAACAGAAACACCTCTAACTATAAAGCATTTCAGTTACAAACTCAATGATAAACACATTAACATATAGTTTAATTTAAACCTCTCTGACAGTGTCAATCAAAACTGAACATTATTATCTTTGTAAATGAGGAATTTAGGGCTGAGCTGTCGTATTGGCCTCGATTAGATTTTACAGGTGTACCCAAAAGAAGTGGCCACTGAATGTGCGTGTGTGTGTGTGTGTAACATGAGGTATGAGTGCACTTCCACTCAGACTGATTCACATTAGTAATTACAGTTTCTTCATTAATATTCTTGTGTAATGTCATAAAATTCTATGTTTAGCCTGTCATTTACATTCATTTAGTCTTATCAGGCTGCTGACTCAGCTTTTTGTCTCACTGAGTTAACACAGATTTTAAATTTGGGGAAAAGGAGGAAACAGTAGCATTGGACCAGGAATTGACTAGCCTGAGTTGAGATATGTAAATTGGTATCACAAGAGAAAAAAAAAAAAAGCGAGAGCATAATTTTCCAACCTTAGAAACTTTCTTTTCTTTTTGGCGGAGTCTTCAGGAGTCTTGGACTGCCTTTCAAGTGGTTTCTGAGGTGTCTGCAGCATCGCCTGAGCAGATCTGACCCAGTCACTGACTGACCTTCTGCTGCCCTCACCAGTTTGGAGAGGAGAGCTCTCAGAGTCCAGTCTGCTCAGGGTCATTGTGTCACCAATATTTCCTCCATCAGACACATAGCCTGAGATCTCTGGCTCCGCCACCTAGGCATAAAGCAATAATTACCAATTAATCAAGTTGCCAATAATAATAATAATTATAAAATGATGATGATAATTATAATATGACCCAGTTTTGAAATATGTCATGTTTGCATGAATTTCAACATTTTGAAGTGTAAACTTATAGATAATATAGCAGTATATATCAGGGGATATATTAAATGTTTGAAACGGCCTCAGCCTTCAGTAATTTAATTATGAGTTATTCGAGATGAAATACAATCAATAACGTATTGATGCAGTGGATATGATACACTGATACACTGACAGGATGATTAATTCACAAGACATGGTAACGAAACAATCTTTTTTGCTGTATCACTGGTAAATACACCTGAGGGAATCAGTTCTCATGGAAAAATCCATGAGAAACCTGAGTTCTTGTCATGTGCTGACAAGACCAGCATACCAGGCTCTGTCAGCCAACGTGCTCTCTTATTTGAATCAACTTGACCCTGCTAGGCAGAGTGCCAGCAGACGTCACACTCTAACCAGCCACAGAGAAAAAGGAACACTATGTTCCTGGCCCCGGCTCAAAAATGTTTTCACCCGGCACTGAAAGCATTGTAAGTGCACAGCTCAGTTCAGTCTCATCCATTCGCATGTTTTCCTGAACAAACAGTAGTAAAAAGACTTTTATAGTCCCGCTATGTTGACACGGCCCTGATCTGGCAAAAACCTGATGTGGTGGAGGTTGTACTTCAGGGATTCGGACGGAGCAACACACTTCATTTGGGAAGTGGCCATCCTCGTCGATCTTGAAATGCAAAGTAGTCCTCACAGCTCCGCCTATCCCCTCATAGTGATAGTACAATAACACAAAAATATCTGGCAGACATACATCAAGTGAGTCAGCAATGCATTTATCTGGAGTAATAAACTCTGACTTGGACTGGGATCTTCCCCCTCTGTATCCTGTTAGATCTGGTTTGATTTACAATTGGCAGTATATAAGCAGACTTTCCCGGCAGAAAACAACAAAATAAAAAAGTCAAACTAGGTTTGTAGATTCTGCTGTTTTAATTAATTTGAAAATCTACTGTATGTATAACAAAATAAAACACTGGAATATAATGATAAATAGGCACAAGCACATAATAAATCCATCTGCTGCACAGATAAATGCTATTTCAGTTAGTGAGTATTCACTTATCAACCTGTCAAAAATACCACATGCATAAATTTCTGCACAATCATATTTGAAAAACTAAGACCCTAAAGTGTCTTTCTTTCTAGTGGGCCTCTAACCACAAGCGTCCTGTTAGGGGATCTTAAATCTTATTTGACACCAGAGAGCTGATAGCAGCAAATTAAATTGTGACAAAAGGAAGTAGCTGGGTCTGTGGGAGTGATGTTAATCTGTCAACAGGCTTCCTCTCCACAAACAGCCTGCAAACTCAACAGCTTTGTCACAAGATAGTGGTTAATGAAATTCAACCTGTGTTTTACAGCATGAATAACTTGAGTTTCATTAGTGGGCACAGTGTTGCTCTATGCTGTGATGGTTCGGATGATTACCGGCCTAAACCAGAGCTATCCTCTTTTCAATGACATCTTCATAAACCGCTATCTAGACAACCACATCACCTCAGTAATTTGGCCACATTTAGCTGATCAATTACAAGTTGTAATGGGTGCTGCAACAACCCAAAACCCTGTGTGTGGTCTTGGGCCTGAGCACCTTCACCACTCCTTGTACATTCTCCCCCTGCGAGCCCTGCCTTTAACAAACACTGCTCCTGAATGACTTCTGAGAAGAACAGTCAATATAAGTCTCCTGAGTGTACCGGAGAGCCACAAAAAAAATCGACTCTAAAGATAACACACCTAACTAGCAAGAAATGGCGGGAGAGCTGTGTTCTGTAAATAAGTAGCTTATGCATTATATTACATTAAACTGCAAGTATTTTTTTCCTTTCGTAGTTTGATCTCAACAAATCAAAAATGCAATAAATCCCCACATCTGAGAAGCTAGAATCATCTAATGTGTTGAAAAATGTCTTAATTGCCAATAATAGTTAATTAATTTTGTATGTTAATCAGTGTTAAGCAGCTCTACAATGTTTTCACTTCCATAAATTGGAAAATATTTAGTTCTTTACACATTTGAATTTCAGGGGATCAAAAGAGACCACTGTCTTCATTAAAATAGGAAAGAAATTCTTTATCTTGAACACACTAACCACTGTGTTAATATCTGATTTGGATGAGCTCGTCCCCTCCACAGTCTTTTATTGCTACCTCAGCTTCTGAACTTTGACAGTTTGGAACCTGAATCTATAAAATACTCAGTGCAGCTACTGGTTTGAACCTGTCAGGCCCTTTAAGAACATTAAAAACACCACAGCAACACTCCATCTGGTGGAGAAATGGTTAAGCATACAATTTTTAAAACAAATCAAATCAAAATAACTAAAAGAACACTGATGTGAAGACTTAAAATAAAACACAATTCCCTAAATATCATTTTCCATTAGTCTGAAAAAAACATGAAATATAGTCTTTCACACAGTGTAAGCTAAAGTTAAAAATAAAGCTCATCAGGTTTAATGCACATAGTAAACAGAATATTATCTGGAGTCTCGCTGGACTCTAGTCAAAGTACTGACACATGAATAATCTTAGGATAACTGCACGCACTGACAGTTAACACAACACTTTTAATTTGAAACACTATGACCCATATACTGATCTCAATTAGCTAGATTGAGTTTAAGAAAGTGTATAGCCCCACCTAGTGTCATTTAATACAAATAGCACCCTTGATAAAATGGCCAGATCTTATTACGCACAGACAAGTGTTGGTAAGGTGTAGCACCTGTTTCATGCACTAATGCGGGTCATAATTTTGATCTTTTATCAGAATAAGTGTAGTTCACTCACATTTGTAGGTTTAAGCAGTGAGTCCTTCGGCTTTTCATCAGAGGACTCTGATTCACAGTCTGAGATTTGTTGCCCACTGTCCTTGTCAACATCCTCCACAGACTCATCCAGATCACTGTCTGTGTCTATAACAGGAAGGTCATCTAAAGAAGAAAAGACCAGAAAAGAAAAAAAGAAAATGCATATACATTTGACAATATAATCTTAACTCAAGGTCTACTTACTATCTTTTTCTAGAGTTGTAATCTCACATTACATGGATCAGTGAATGGAAACTGCTCACCTATTAATACGTGACCAAACTTCCTCATAGGATGACAACCAACTCAACTACATAACAACTGAGAAAATTCTTGAAAAAGCTAGTAAGTGGACCTTGAGTTAAACCAACAATTCACACTTTCAGAACTAGCCACTTCTCTCCTTTCTTGCAGAGAGTTAGATGCGAAGATACCACTCTCATGTCTGTATTGTACATATGATGCTACAGGGGATTGCTAGCTTAGGTTCGCACAACGACTGGAAACAGGGGTAAAACAGCTGGCCTGGCACCTCTAGAGTTCAACCAACTACCAGCACCTCTAGAGTTCTCAAATTAACATGTGGTATCTGGTTTGTTTAAGCAACTCAAAAACCGAAGGGTAAAAACAACAGGTTGTGGCTTTACAGGTGGTAATGGGTGGGACTATTTCATTGCCTGTCTGAAGTTACTGTGCCCAGGCAGGAAATAGTAAAAATCTATTTGTATCTTCCATACGGACGTAAGAGTGGTATCTTGAAAGTTGAACTTCACAGTCTGACTAACCCATGATGTACTGACCCAGACCTCATGACTGACTTAAATTACCTTTATCAGTGCTGAGCATGCGCAGGTCTCTGGTGTAAGACCGTATAGGAGCCACGTGTCTCCCTGGTCTATGAGAACGTTGTTGCTGCAGTGCAACAGCTATGGGTTGATGCTGCTCCTGCTTCTCATCGTCGGATGGTTCACTGTCACTGGAGCTCCATGCAATGTGCACTGGGTCCTCATTATGGTGAACGCTACTGGTCTGCACTGGGCAAACAAATACATGAGGGGATAATATCATTGTCATTATCAAGCTAAGCAATCAAAAACTAAGAGACATGTCCACAGGGCTGAATGGCTAAACTCTACATCTGTAAAATAAAAAAAATAAAAAAGTATGCACAGGCACTTGTATTATCTCAGGCATTAAACAGCTTTCATTGCTGGTTCTGCCCTACTTTATATTTTCCACTGTCTAAATTAAGAACAGAAGAAATCAGGAGTGGTTTATTGTTTGTTATTTTTCAGTACTAGTGTCATACTTAAATGCTTAATTGTTCATTGTTTCACTTTGAGAAATATGAGTTTTCTACAAACCGTGATTTTTAATTTAACAAAATGAGCAAAACATTGCGAATGTAAGAAGTCTGCTGTCGTTAAACTGTCTCAAACTAGCAAATTGTGTATTCAAATCAGAAACTATCTGATCAAAGAACAAGTCAACAAGATTAGGAGTGTGAACAGACATACAATGCTAGCTTTAAGTACTTTTTACAGTTTTTGACACCTGGTTAGATTCAGAACCAAAATGGTGTTGAGATTTTATACCCAGCTCTAGAATAAATGGCCTGCATAGTCAATGTATATAAGAGAATTTATGGAGGGACATACAGACATTATGGTGTTTGGCACTAGACTGTCCAGCCCTAAATGCCACACCACTAGTCTGAACAACAAATTACCTAAAGCAGGGGTCTGTGCCAACTTTTTCATGGCAGACAGTTTTCTTCCTGATGACTTGAGGTTCTGCAACAAAAAATTATCAACACCATCAAAAATGTAATAATGTGAATCTATAATGTAAAAAATGCACAACTTTTCTGCAGTGTTTACCAAATTAAATTCATGACCTTTTAAGAAAATTCAGTATCCTTTCTAGTCATACTGTTATTGACATTTGTATCACATTTTGTCCATACGTCCCAGTATATAACAATAAATCCTAGTAATGTAATAAATCAATTTCCCTGACCTTGACTCATGTGTGGATTACTGAACAGGCCTATGCGGCCAAGGGTCAGGGGGCCCCTGAGAGCCTCTCTATGAACTGACTATTAATATTTCTTATTTGAAAATAGGAGTGCTCAGTTAAATGACTACAGAGATAGGCAAAACTAGAGACGCAAATTGATTACAAAAAGACACTAACTGCGTCAATTGTAGTAGTTCTGTGTCTCTTTAAGTCTGGGGGTCCTATATACCAGAGGTGGGAGGGGGGCTTTTAACTTGACTTTGCCTAGTCGCCCATTGTCTCATAATCCATCCATGCCTGCACCAAGATAGAGGACAGAAAATTGATGGATGGATTAACCAATTAAAAAATAAATAATGAATTTGTTAAATTAAGTGTTTGCTGAATTACATTTTCTATTATGGCAACAGTCTCCCAACAGACAATGTTACAGGAGCAAGCAAGAAAAAGTATACAATTATACAATATTCAGCACTTATGAAAATGAAATGTAAGACTTTTTAATACCTTCTTATGCCTTATTTTGACAAAACTGACATTATTGCATTATAAACCTGCAGATACCCTGAATGCACAAAACTTTGTTGAACTTTATTGACCTTTATCACCGGAGTGTCCAAAAAGCTGTCCCCAACCTTCTCCCAACTCTTGGCTGAAGACACGGATGAAAGTGTTGATGGGTCTCTCCCCACTCTTTGAACACCATGTTCGACATCATCCGGAAAGAAAACACACTGTATATCCTTGGAGTACTTTTTGCGCTACAAAAGAGAAGGAAAAGGAGGATCAGCTGTAAAACGTTTAAATCTAACTGAATGAAACGACTGGTTTGATAGCTCCTACTAAGTTAGCCTAATGCTGACTGTTATGATCATTTTACCGGGGTTTACCATAACAGATGAATTACAAATAGAACTTAGTATCTGCGCCCTGGTGTAAGTAATTAAAATCTACATCTGGTGATATACGACTGTAGGGGAACTCCTCTCAGCTGTGGGCGGGCAGAGGCAGATAACATGTGTTGCTAAAGCTAACTATCCGGTGAGGTTAGCATTAACTGGCTAGCAAGTTAGCTGGCGCTAGCGAGCAGGTTACTTACCTTTCTGGAAGACATAGCGACCAAATAAAGTAACGTTAGGCCACTGTTGTTGTTCACATTTTATATAATAAACTCTGTTTCATTAAACCATCGCTGGGAAGCGGCAGTTTCCCAGCAGCTAACCAACATGAAGAACAAACTTGCAGCGGTTTCACAATCTGAAAAAGGGGTGTGTTTGATTATTCAACAGCGTGGACGGGAGGCAGGCGGGCCTGTCTGTGTGGGCTTCCTATTTAAAATAATGGCTTGCTTCAATTGATGGACAGTAACTTAACACATTACATTGCATTTTCACTACTTTTCTGCATTGAAATAGTTACAAGTAAAAAATATTGCATTCAAAATTTTAGTCAAGTAAAAGTAGAGAAGCATTACCAGTAGAATAAAAAAGTGAATGAGTAATTTGTTATGTACATTATATTATTGGTCATTGTAGTATTAACACATAGGCAGAATTTCACAGTAAGCCAAGTAGAGCTTAATTTTAAGTACTTTAAATTATCTTGACTATGGTGATCCATAGCAAACAATTATTTAAATGTGTTTTGTATGTATAATCAAAATCTGCAACATAATACAGCTGCGACACAAATATAGTGGAGTGAGAAGTACAATATTTCCCTTTTGAAATGAAGCAGCGTATTAGTATAAAACATAAAATGGAAATTTGTAGGTAAGTACCTCGGATTGCACTAAAAATTTGCTTAATTTCAAGTTGCAACATGAAAATGCTGCTTAAATGTTGATGCATCAATATCAATAACCCACATAAAATAATACTTGTCACTTTTGCATAAGGAATCTTGCAGAGCAGGACATTTATTTCAACAGTATATTTACACTGTAGTCGTAATATCTTTGTTTGAGTAAAGAATCTCAGCACTTCTTGCAACACTGGCTATGGACCATTCGTAAACAGGTTTGTTAAATAATCAATTAATGAAATACTTTTTTAAACAACCCAATTCTCCTCATTACTGAAACTGTACTTCTGTTTTTATAAACCTGACTCATTCTGGAGTAACATGACAACCCTCCCATGGACTCAAAACGTAATTTTATTACAGCAAATCCATCCGAATCTCAACATCTTTCAAATAGCAGGTTAAACATACAAAAGCTCACTTAACATACTTGTTTTTTATTAAATATGTAAAAAGCAGGTCAAGTTATTCACAAATAAAATGCAAACATGCAACACGTTGTTTTTGGGGAATGCATAATGAGTGGGACATGAAAAAAAAACATTTACCATTCATTAATTATTGACAGTACAAGTTTACATTCCTTTTCATTTACACAATAATATATGACTAAAGCATTATGGTGCACTGCCCAGTTCAATATTAGTAAATGCAATATTAAGAAAGGGTATACAATGTACTTACTGGAATATAGCATGGCAAATTACTCAGTGAACCGACTCATCTCCCTAAGACCTGTGGTTTAAAAAAAAAAAAACTGTAACAAACAGCTGAAATCTGAACAGACCACAAGTTCCAGCTGAAGTTTAAAACTTAAAATGCTGTATTATAAGACTAGTCCACAATAATGATTCTTCCTTCCCTATGTTTATGGCATACCAAGTAAATTCTAACACCAAACCACCTTGTATGGTGTGAATGACACACTGTGGAGCACACTGATTATCTGAAATTGTGTAATTTGTGAGGATAGCTGTTAAAACGGTCATAAGTTGGCATTATACTACATTTTATTCACAATTCATTGACTGTATTGTCCTCCTTCATGAGGATGCAATTCATCTTGTACTATTCCTAAGGCTTTACAACAATAAATATGGTGAGGGTCTATGGACAGATTGTCCAATACAGAGTCAAATGTCAGTGCAACATATGGAAGGAGGTTAAATAAGAGCTACTACGAGCCCTTTCAGGGCTTTGCTTATTGCATTCTTGTGATTAATATTGTTGATATGCAAAATAAAAACAAAGTAAAATTAAAAAGGACAGAAGCTGGGAAGTTAACACTTGCACTGACAGGTAACCGTTACCTGTCTAAACTTCAGCATTTCATCACATCTACTGTAGGATTTGAATTGACTTTTCCACCCACACAGTCCTTGGAAACTTCTGTGATGGTCTGAGCTTGTCTGCTGGTGGAGGTCGTCACCACAAACCTGCCACAGCAGTTCACCAAAAGTCACGAAAAACATCGAACAGTGAGCAGAGGGATACAAAAAAAAACTGTGATGGTGCTTCTATTCAGGAGGTTGCTTCATGTGCTCAGTCTTGGAGAAAACAAAAAAATAAACCATGAGGAAAAATTAAAAATCCTTTAACAGTTCTCACATATTAAAAAGAGGGGTGTAACTGCAGTGAGGGATGATGGCAGTCAGTATTCATCCTGTTCCTCCTGCTGATCATCTGGTGCCTCCTCTTGGGCTTGCTGGTCCACTTCCTGTCCATCACCCTCAGCCAGCTCCACTCTTTCCTAAAAAAGGGACACAGTCACTCAGAATAGTTTGAGGCCAACATGTGATTTCACACAAAGACTGTGTTCTTATCTCTTTCAACCACACAATAACTTCCACATGATTTTACCACCAGGAAAATGGCATTCACGCAATTTGCTGGTGTACACTGCTGCAAAAACTCATAAGTCAGAAAAAAAAAAAAAAAAAACAACCTCCGGCTGTTCTGAATCCTGCTCGGCTCAATCTAGGGTCATGTACTGACCTGATCATCTGAGGCGTAAAGGACCTCCATTAGCCGCTCGACAAACGGGGCATTTTCTTCACCCTGTTCCTGGCACAGCAGCTCCACCTCTCGCAGCTTGCTGAAGTAGTAGTCCCTCTCCTTCTCCACCCCTTCCAGTGCCAACTTTAATGTGTTCACCTACAAAAATAAAATTCCTAAGATTATTTTTAGCTTTAAAAATCAAAACACACAATACTGCATGGACTTTGGTAAGATGGTAAGAGATGAGCAATCACAAGATCAACTGGACAGTCCTCAAAGAACAAACACACACAGCCTTTGATTTAAACTTGTGAGTGATTCACTCTAATAAACTGTTACATGTTGAAGGACTCAGCTAAATTAAGGTCCAGCAGGAATAAGATTGAATCATTGTGTAACTGATACCAGTTGTCTAAAGTGCACAAATTATATTTAACTAGAGTAGTGCTGAAACCATAAGTTGATTAATTGATTATTATATGGACTGCTACTTGAAAATTCCATATACAAGATTTCAATAATATAGCAACAAACAATTAATTTTCTATGTATATATCTAGTGGAGTAATGGCATCCTTTGCAGAGAATGAAGTCACACCGCCTATGTATATGTCACAAACTGGGTTTCTCTGTTCTTTGTTTTGGTATCCGGTCCAAACACGTGTGCATGTGACTCCCTCCCTCTTAAACCGTTGGCCCTCCCCCCTCCACACAGTAGGCAGCGTTCAGGTGGAAGCAACCTTCCAGAATTTCCTCCACTGAAGAAACCATTTTTTTCGGCTTAAAAGGCCTCCGACACAGAAAAAAGTAAGAGCACAGGCAGACTGGCAATAGGGACTACCAGCTCAAATCCCGGTCGGCCCGTGGCCCGTCGAAACATTCATAAAGTTTTTACATTCATACCGGCTCTATCAGTCTCTTCACTGCCCGTCATGCCCGTGCGGCCAATCCCAGTGGATAAGGCCAAGGCTGAATTTCTTTCCCAGTCCAACTACGGAGCCAATACTGGTCTGGCTTTACTGAGATGGAGAGCCCTACGGAGCTCCTAAAAGGCTCCAGCTTGACTCAGAACTGGCTTTTCTTCTACTCGATGTGCAAGTAACTTGATGGCTACATGATGTTACATGTCTGTTTTCATTAGTGACCAGCTAGAATGGGCGTGATAAAGTTAGCCAACTTGCTGTTACCAACATAGTTTTTGTGTTGTTTATGATGTTAGTTGTAGAGGTAATTTCTTAATAAACTCAAATAATAATAATATTTTTGACAGCAATCATATTCTATATATGTGGATAGTTCTGTAACAGGGTTTTACATTGATTCTACATATTCCTTTTCCCCCAGTCATCTTTGCAAAACCACTTTAAAGGAGCCACGAGTCAGCATTTGTCAAATCTCAAGGTCTCACCTAACTTGGCATAAACTTTTTTTTCTTTATAAGCAATCATCATCCAGGACAGACAGTGCCAATACACTATTTTTGACAAGTAAACAATATATTTACTTTCAATTTCTTCCACTGTTTAATTTTCACAAGACAAACAACAGCCACAGAAAACACCAAACAGTTAAACAATTAGTTAATAGTTGTTACTTGTTTCTGCACCAGCTATGTTGCTGATCATCTGTTGATGCAAGATGTATGGAAGGGCTGCATACCTAATATAGTTTTTAAGGTGGATATACACTCATTGAGATCATGATCAGACAACATATTATTGATCCCATAACAAAGCAAAGTTGTACATTACTTTTACACTGGATCTTACTGGATCTGAAGGAACTAATAATAGTGAAAGGGCAGAATGGAAATCAGAGGCAGATTTGGTGTAAGAGATTAAAAAACAAGCTACAGAAAAATGTGTAATGTATGTACAGGTTGATGCATTTCTAAGTTTGTGTTAAACACCAGCTGTGTAAGCTTATTCCAAAAACAGGGAGTGGATGTGTTCAAAATTTTATCCATAATTCAGTCACACTCATCCAGTTTCTTCTATGAAAGCACACCACCCCTCTAATCACTACTGCACCCATCAGTACAATTCAATCGTGACCACAGACAGTGCTGGAGGCAAGCATGTGAGCAATGTGGTGAAAAGACTTCAGTTGTTGGGTTCACAAAGATAATTAAATATTAGAATCAATAAACATAAACATACCTGCTCGGTAAGATGTGTGACCTGTGCTTCCAGTTCTTTCTCTCCTTTGGCAGGAGTTGCTGTTGCAGGGATCTTTTTGGCTGACGAGGGTCGGGATGTTGGTGTTGAGGACTTGGGGGTTGTAGCAGTTGACCTTGATGCTCCTAAACGCAAATTAAAAGTTTATTACTCAGGGATGGATGAATTCTTCACCAACGCCCTGAAGCAAAACTTAGAACACAGAGACATTGTGTAATTTCCTGTGAAAGAGTGACTCTGAAACTTATTCGAATTCAG